TTTGTATAAATACTTTTTTAAAAAAAAAAAAAAGTACTGGACTTGGCTTAATTTCTACTTAGCACCAACTAAGTAGAGTTATTACTATCATACTTGTTTCCCGTTCTAAAAGTGTTTAATAAAACAAAGGTCACGGGACCAGCAGTGAGCGTAATGGCTATGTCGCTGGACTCCCACATAGTCAACCGCAGTTCAAGGCTCGGACCCAGTGGCTTAAATTCACGCCGGGCGCGTGTGTGTGCGTGCCCAAGATCCCGAGTGGAGAATGGAGAAGGGATTGCGGCGTGGCCATCCCCCCTGGGGGTGATTTCTCGCTTTCTGTCTCTGTCCGTCTGGTGAGCGCACGCGCCCCATAGCAAAAACCTCTCCAAAAAAACAAAGGTCACAATCTATATCTGGTCTAAAACGAGTTAGGGGACTGGAGAGGAGAAACCAAACAGCAGTTTAGATAGAAAGCATCAGCACATACTACCTGTAAAGTACATACTGTGTACTGATACTACTTTTTGGTGGTGCACATGCATCCCAGGTCCTGAAGTAACATGTGTATTTAATATAATACAAAGTCTTATATTAAAGATATGTGCTATTGGGACTGGCAGGCAGCATGGTGGTTAAGGTCGCTATACTCCCACATGGCCAACATTGGTTTGAGTCTCAGACCTTGCAGTTTGCCTTCTCACTTTCCCTCTCTCTCACTCTGTTCCTCTCTGGTCAAATTAAAATAAACAAACAAAGTTAAATAATTCTTTAAAAAACATATGTGTGCTATCTTAAAAAGTACACTCTAGCCACATGAGTCTACTTAAATTATTTAAAATTAAAAACCTCAGGGCTGGCAGGTGTCATGGTGGTTAAGAGCGCTGGACTCCCACATGGCCAACTGTGGTTTGAGTCCCAGATCTGGTGGTTTGCGTGCTCACTTTCTCTCTCTCTCTCTCTCTCTCTCTCTCTCTCTCTCTGTCTGTCTGTCTGTCTCGCAGTCCCTCTCTGGTCAAATTAAAATAAATAAGTAAAGTTAAATAAAATAATTCTTTTAAAAAAAATTTAAAACCTGAGTTCTTCTGTCCCACTGATGACATCTAAAGTGTTCTATATCCAAATGTGGCTTGTGGCTACTGTCTCAGACCATGCAGATATAGGACACCCATTATTACAAAATGTTTTATTAGACAATACTGCTCCAAACAATATTCTTTTAGTCAGTTCATATTTTTACTTTTAAAATTGACACCTATAGAAACCAGTAGATGGTGTAATGGTTACAGCACTGGACACCTACATAATTGACTGTGGTTTGAATCCTGGGCCCAGAGGCTTAAAAAACTAAGCCTGTGCGTGCGTATGTGCATGCATGTGTGTGTGTGTGTGTGTGTGTGTGTGTGTGTGTACCCAGGATCCTGAGAGGAGAATGAAGAAGAGACTATGGCATGGCCATCCGCCCTGGGGGGGAATTTCTCACTTTCTGTCTCCCTGTCTCTCTCTGGCGAGTGCACATGCCCTACAGCAAAAAACCTCTCTTAAAAAAAAAAAATTGACACTTGTATCTTTATTTATGTTTTAAAGAAGTTTCTCCCTTAGGGTTTATGCTCTTGCATAGGAGAGAGACAAGAGAAAGAAGTAAAGTGAGAAATCACCCCAAGGGGGTGGCCACACTG